AGCTTTTAGGCCTAGGAAAATGTGGTCAAACCTCATATTCCACTATACATTTTTACAACACTCCTCCTCGGATTTCAAAATCACATGTGTGTCAAGTTAACCTTTTAACTGGCTGTCATAAGTCACCGTCTAGAAAGAATATGGTAAAGAACAATAACATTTAAAGTGAAACTGGGGTTTCATCAAATTATTATATTAAACATGAGGAACATGCTGTTCAATCAGAGATTTTGATATGATTCACCATTGGTAGAAAATCTGTTTATATGATCTGGTTGTTTTTTAGAGGAAAAACACATGATTTAGCTTTGTAAGTCCATAGACTACTCACTGTTCCACCAAGGACTTATATGATCTGACAGTACAACATTAACTAAAGTTACATACCTGTGAATGAGATAATTACATTGAATAGCAAACCCTTAAAGCGTAACTGTTGTCAAGTGATGATATTATATACGTTTGTTTGTAATTAAGCACAAAGCTACACAATGGGCTATCTGTGCACTGCCCGCCAAAGGGTATCGATATTTATTGACATGGATCCAGGCAAAAAGCAAGTATGTTTTTTTTTCATTTCATAATTTTGAAGCAAGTTAAGAATGCTTCAGTTAAAATATTTATAACACCACCAGTATACAGTATTATGCTTGATAAGAAATAATGATTTGTAATACTTCTAAATCTCTTCCAAATGGGATTAGTTAGTGTATTGGTACAGGCATAATAGTACTTAAATACCCATTAAACCCAATATTTTGCTGTCGGCAAGGGTATTCAGTTCATGTAATATAATAATTATAAGTATCATAATATGCGACTTATTTACTTAGCTGTTTTAAAGTCTTTGCTAGTTAGATAATGATTTATACTTAACGTTAACTGTATGCGTGTTTTAGCCTTAAGACCTACTCTAGACTAAGTTATGATTAGTGTTTAGGGTTTTTGTGTAACACGAACAAAATCGTTTATTTCTTTATACATGTACATATTACTTAGGTACAAAGGTTGCTAAAACGGAAAAAATGATTATTGTTTAGGGTTTTTGTGTAACACGAACAAAATCGTTTATTTCTTTATATATATACATATTACTTAGGTACAAAGGTTATTAAAACGGAAAAAATGATTAGTGTTTAGAATCAACGTCAAAATTGTAAAATACAAACGACCACTAACTCTATTTATTTAATTATTGTGTATTTTATTTGGAAGGCTTTTTGTTTATTTTATTTTTTACAATATCGTATACACACATATACAATGAAAATTACACACGTGGAGAAAAATTTCAATAAAAGGAAAACTCTGATAAGGTTGGTTTGTTTGTAATTAAGCACAAAGCTACACAAAGGGCTATCTGTGCTCTGCCCACCACGGGTATCGAAACACGGTTTCTAGCGTTGTAAGTCCGCAGACACACCACTATACCATTGGGGGGCAACTCTGATTAGGCTCGTCTTAAATATATTTTTTAGCGCAAAGCCACACAACGGACAATCTGGGTTCTGTCTACCGTGGAGAATCGAACCCCGAATTTTAGAGTTATAAGTACTTGGAGTAACCCCTTGACCCACAAAGAGACCTTTTCTCGAAAGTTTTGATTGTCATTATTTAATTTGTTAGTGTGTTAGAGGTGTTTTTTTTTTCTTTATACAATCGAAACGGGGTTTTTAGTCTATGTGAAATTTTGGTAATTTTAGATCAAGGATTAACTCATACTTTTATTCCTCTAAAAGTAACATCCAAACAAGTAAGTTATTTTTCATATACGGAATACTTATGTTAAAAAATTGCACGTACGTATGTCATATAGATGAATAAACATTAGCTGTAATATACGTAGACAAAACTTCGTTATGGCGAAAAAGCTTTTCTTCAAACAACATGAGGATGTGGGAACCTAGAGCAGTCTTTTGTTGAAGTTGTTATAGTAGTGGGTTCAGTAACGATGTGTAGGCAAAGCTCACTCCTTATACCAAAAGAAAGATGAGGGTGAGGATAAAGATGAAGATGGGAACTTGAAACATGAGAACTCTATAATGAGCTGCAAGTTTGAGCCAAGAGATGAAAGGCTGATGTATGATATCCTAGAGCTAAAACGAGATGAAAGACTGATGTATGATATCCTAGAGCTAAGTGAGATGAAAGACTGATGTATGATATCCTAGAGCTAAGTGAGATGAAAGGCTGATGTATGATATTCTAGAGCTAAAAGAGATGAAAGACTGATGTATGATATCCTAGAGCTAAAAGAGATGAAAGACTGATGTATGATATTCTAGAGCTAAGTGAGATGAGATGGATTCAGGTAAAGATGGACATCGTATCTGTTGGTGAAAGAGGAATTCAACAAATATATGAAGAAAAACTTCTGCCTTATCTCAGACAGGGTAACGTTAGGTACGTTTTAAGCAAAACCTTTTTGATTTAGTCATCATTCTAATTTAAGCGTTTACGTATGAGGAAGTCAAGAGCTTTTATCAAGGTTTTTAGGAAACTATGGAGTCAATAAAGACAGAAATATATATGATGGTAATGGATACCTTTAATGGAAAGTAGGTGAAAATAGAAACGCCATACTAGTTGGACATCGTGGCCTCTGAGAATGGAAAACAGAGAAGATGGATTAGTACAGTTTTGGGAAGAAAATTCTTAAATAATAAGCAACACTTAGGTGACACCAGAGGATAGTGAAAGAATTGTGATAGATTATATCCCAATTAAGAACATTTCAGAAACTATTACAATAGTTACAACATATCCAGAAGCAGGTATGGCTCTGATCACAAACAAGTAATTGGAAAAATAACAATTAGACTGAAGAAGCTGAAAAAAACAACAACATGGAAAACTTTTGGAAATATTAATAAAAAAACTTGTAAACATAGATTGGGGTTTTACAGAAAATAGGAGAGAAAGACGAAAATAGCCATATGAGGGCAAAGAAATATTTATGTTAGCTTCACAGTCTTTGAGAAAGTTAATCAATAGAGGTTAATGGCGATTCTGCAGCATACTGTTGTAGATAAAGTATATCTCAAAATTCTGAAGTACTTATACTAAAGTCAGAAAGAAGCAATTCGAATTGACAAAAGCCTACGACAAGGATATGTATTGTGACCGATATTACTTTACAGGGTTGTTGATTAAAGAAAAGACCACGGACTTAGCAGAAATGCGAACAAAATTAAGATAATTATAGTTTTATGATATGATGAAGGTTTCCAGAATATGCTTCAAAGTAGAAAGTAAAGATCTGGAACAAGCAGAGGAAATTTACTTATTTGAGGACGAATATCAGTAGCGATGGCAAGTGTGGAAAAAGAGATAAAGCGAAGGACAGGAATGGAAAAATCAATATCTTCCACCATCTTAAAGAATCACTCAGGAGAGATGTCAAACTAGAATCGAAGAAGAGATCACTAAAATGCTATGTATGGTTATCCCTATTCTGGGGTTGAAAATGTGGTCCTTGTTTGCTGTAACAAAACGATAGTTGGAAGCATTTGAAATGTGGTGATACAAATGAATGATGAAGATTAGCTATACAGAAAGACAACTGTTGGACATATACAGGAAATGGAAGATCCGCTACTTTTGG